TTGGACTCCATGCATTTTAAAAAAGGTTCTGAGTTATCACAAGAGGACAGAGTTGGAAGTGGCATCGTCTCACTTCTGTCTAGCTAACTCGTATCTCCACAAAGGTATCCTGACAATAAAAATCATACTGCTGTTGAAAGGATTGCATATTTTCTGCTTTTGGACACCGCCACATAAAACATCCTTTGTATCATGCAGAAATGTGTGAAAGTACCACAAATGTCTGGTGATAATAAATGTGCAATCCCGTGGAGGATCTGTACCGCTTCCAAGCCATCCCTTTAGACAATCTTCTTGTTACAGACCTTACAAGGTATCAGAGTAACCTCCACCTGGCCCCCTTGGAAAACTTCTATCTGTCAGATATACCCGCTCTGTGTTTTTCCTAGACTTCTTCAGTGCAGGTATTTGTTGTACAGAACCTGCAAGCTCGGAAAAGCATTTAACTTCATTCATGTGAATAATAGCCCATTGACTTTAATGTCGCCACTCATGAGCGCAAAGTTAAGCACATGCTTAAGTGTCCTGCATATCTGGGATCCTTGTATAATTTAGATTTAATGTGCCGCAGAGTACAGTGTGGGAAATAATTCATTTTTCAGTTTCATGGCCAAGCATCTATTACTGCAGAAATATAGCAGATTTTTTGTGCACGTTTTTCAGTGAGACTTTTGCTTTGTATCAACCTGAAATGTTCAGTCACCTCAGAATAACATGTGCTGTCTTGTCTTCCAATTATCTCCTTCTGTCCCTTTCCTTTCTTAGAGAAAAAAAACCCTCTATTTTCCCTTTTTTTTTTACATGTAGGTCAATTTTGTAAGTAGTGCTCTTGGAAAATGACAAGTCAAAAATACGTGTCAGAAATATCAAGCAAAATATTTTGTTTCAAGTATACTACAATAAGCTACTTCGGCAAATACCAGAATTTATCTCTTCCTTCTTACACTTTATGCAGGGTTTTTTTCAGTAAAAATACTGGCCATCTTTAACTCCAAAAATTTTATTTTTTTTTTAAAAAAAGCATGTCTGTTGAAAAAAATAGCTGACCTATGCGCATAGAAACAGGCCCTTTGTCTCAACATTTTATTAACGTCTTAAACCGCAAATAAGTCAAATACATGTGAAATTTCAGCAATCTGTATTAATTTGCAAGCATGCAGAAATCCATTTCTTTCCTTTTTATGTCAATTACAAAATTACCATTTTGATACTTTATTAGCTTCTTTGGCATTTCTAACTAATTTATAGGCATGGATACTATTTTGGTTTTTTTATTATTAACCTACTGCATTCTAAATTATTTTATTTAAACGCCCTGCTGGCTGTCCACATTTGCTTTTATTCTATTACTACTGTATATGAATGAAAATTACGTATAGCTATTAGATTATTTCACACATTATTTCATTTTATATAATCTTTCCTGTATTTATTGCCTTCGTTAGACTGAAATACCGCAGGCACTTGTTTCTCTAATGTGTCTCAAGCTCTCCCGTTATTGGAAATTGGGTTATATCTCCTGATTACAGTCAGATGAAATCCAGACTCGGGAGCCGACTGCAGTATTCTGCGACAGGCCGTCTTACCAGCAGGACTTTCACAGAGGGTCGGGGCCATAGCAGCCCCTCACACGGACCCCAGACAGATGCAGCCCAGGTGGCACGCGCGAGGATGCTCCAGCTGGGCTCACTGTCACTGACACGGAAGGGCAGAGCTCCGGCTGGGAAACTGACCCTGCCAGCATGGCTCTACCCCTGCCAGGACCACATCCAGCCATTTCACTGCGCAAGGCGGACAGGCAGAGGCGGAGGGTGCTGGTTTGGCATCTGAGCAGGAGGAGAGCAGTTCGGCCCGTGGTGAGCACAGGGAGCTGGAAGAGAGATGCTGTTAGAGCAGCTCTTTGCCTGCAGGACTCAGAGGTCCAGTGCTGCTCCCAGGGAGAGGCAGGCTTCTCCTCCCTCAAACTGCCTGTGCCTTCACCAGCATTAAGAGTCGCAGTTTGATTTCACAGCTGCAAGGGTTAACGCAGGGGAATTAACAGCCATTCTGAGGTGTTCTTGGGTCAGCTCTGGCACCAGTTTTGGGCCAGCTGAGCACGAAGGGGTGGCACTCAGCAGGGTGAGCACCACCTGGGCCAGAGAATCTCAGCGCAGCGAGCCTCCATCCCCCCTCAGTCTCATGTACTGCCCTGGCAGAGGGGTGCATCCCCCAGCCCAGCTCACACAGCCTGCTCAAGCATCCACACAGCACAGTAGGGACATGACGTTAGTCATTGCTCTGCATGTTTTTAGGAAGCAAATGCTGGGGCACAGCCAAGACACTATCTGAGTCCTTAGACAGCTGGAGTGTTTCAGCCTGCTTTTCTGGGGAAGCAGCAGGCTGACAGCCATAGGCACCTCTCGGAGCAGCTCTTCCCAGGCAAGGCCCAAGGAAGAGGGTCCAAGGAGACCCTCGGGGTGGCTGTCACAGGGTGTAGCCAGCCTGACCTTGACAAGCATTCTGCAGCCAGGCACAGTAATGGATTTTGTGAGTGCATCTGGCATTTTGGCTGCTGTACAGTGTCAGTGGGACACCTTCTCGAGGTACTGTCATGCTACAAAGACATTTGCAAGCAGATCTGGGTCTAGGCAAGTAGGAACAATATCCCTTAAAATAACTAGCCCTTTGCCTGTCGGGTTGGATTACATCCTCTGCTGACTATTCGTGCTGGACACAGCTGCCCTTGCCAGCTGATGTAGCTGGCCAAGAGGTTGATCTGCCTCACTTCTGCTGTGGCCACCAGATCACTCATTGGAGATAAAAGAGACTGGAAGTCTCTATAGTCGTTCCTCTTGGCCACCTGGCACTGGTCAAGGACTGCCTCCCTTGAAAATCTGAACCAGCTAATTTAAGGAAGCAGGGTGGGGGGCAGGGGTGGAAGGGAGGAAGAGCACAGCTCACCTCCAACTCCCTGCATGTGGCTGCACCCTGCATCCCAGCCAAGCAGTGCATTGAGGGTGTGAGTGAACTACAAGCAGTATGCGGGCTTTGGAAGAGGGAAAAGAGGAGATTCAGAAAATTGAATTTCTTTCAAACCAGGACATCTTGAAGCAGTGAGACCGATGCCTGCATGGCTGCTCTCAAATTCTGCAGAACCCTCTGCACATCCAGAGTGGAAATCCATGAGCTCAGATCAAGCTCGTTCACCCACATCTTTTGGATGGAGATATTCTCACCTGACTTTATTCTCCAGAGGCAGAGGTTGGCCTTCAGTTTTTACTAGTCAATTTTCATTTGATTCCAGATGCTTTGGTAAATCATAATTTTAGCCAAATGTTGTACTAGCAGCTGTGTTTGAGACATACCACAACCATCTGAGTATGTACTGTGGCCTTTCTCTTCCCCAAGAAACAAAGCATGTGTTCTTTAGGATAACAAAAGCAAACACAGGTATGTTAGCAAATAAAAGTACAAGAAAATGACCTCTATCCAATACACACAGGCTGCCCTACAGTGAAATCAACTAAAATACAACCAGAGACCTGTAGCCAAAGGCTCTGTGAAGCTCCAGGAGTTACCGCTTTCAATTGGTATTTCATGCACATATCTCTGCAGGTATGAAGAATATCTTGAAAAACATGAGAATGAAAGCGTGGCTCTCTCCATGAGCCTAGGCACAGCCTGAAACAATAGATCACAGGTGTGAACTATCCCATTTAGCTCAGACAGTTGAAAACCTAATGATGACAAACTAATGTTAACGCTGATAGGGCTGGCTGGTTTTGAATGCTGCCTTTCAGTCTGAGGGAGTCTACAGCTTCGAAAAAGTCTCTGCAACAACCTCCACCTGGCAGAAAAGCATCCTCCTCCACACCCCCTCCTCAACAGAAAACACTGCAAATGTGGAGACAGCATGAAACAAATTGAGGTTGAAATTAAAACAAGTAACAGGAGCACTTCTGCACGGATTGTATTATTCTGTGTCATATTTCATACCAGGAAAAACAACAAAATGAAAAAAAAAAACCCTCTTAAAAAGTAATCCACCACAGAATTTCCAGCCTGCTGCACAGGACACTGTATACACAGGGGGCCTGGCCACAATTTATTTCTAGACTATCATGGGCAACACAAGAGACAGTAACTATAACCAGTCTAGCAGTAGCAAACAGACACTTGCAGTCCTCTTCTTGCTGCTATCCCCCATAGCAGAGTGTGCAACCTATTGCTGTTTGGTTGCCCTGCAATGGCATGACCCCTTAAGCAGCCCCAGTGACTGAGTAACGAATTCAGCATGGTCAATCGAGCCTCACGACACTCAATTCCTTGTGAGTAACCTTGCCACAAAACAAAAATAAAGCTTCAGACCCTCACGAACCAAACAGTTCTACCTTGCATGCATGAGCAATCTCCTCAAAATCCTCAGTGTGCAGAGCCCAGCAAAAGCAAATGCTCTGTGAGGACAAAATGCAGTGCATGTAAACAGGGCAAGAAACACACGGTGAAGGAAACAATTTCTTGTGTTAATGTTCCAAAGGCCTCGAAAAAATGACAGTATAACTTCAAATGCAAACAATAGCGAATTATCAAAGCCACATTGATTTACCTCCATGGGCAGAACTTTGTCTCCGTAATAAGCTAACAGATCATATTTCTAGCCTAATGGCTGGGATTCCTGAACAGACAAATTATTTCTTCCTGAAAAAAACAGTTACGGCCATTATACACATCGTCTCCAAAGCTCCATTAATTAATTTCTTGCTGACAAGCAAGGTGTGGTTTGGGATCATACAAGCACGCACAGTCCAGTTTGGTTTCTAATGCATTCCTGAAGTGCTTAAAACATGTAAAAATGCAACTGAATACCAACAAAGAGCAATTGTGCTATTTAAACTAGGGACTAAAGCTATGATGTCATTCTGAAAAGAACTGAACGCTTTCCCAGTAAAAGCAAAGAAGAGAGGGTACAGCAGCCTCTTCTGTGGAAAAGGCTGCTTTGGGGGTTTGGGAGGATCCATTACCTTTTTGTCGCTCAAGCCAGACACCTGGTCCACGTATTCCTCTTGGATCATGAAGGCAGCCAGGTTGGCAGTGTAGCTGGCCAGAAAGATGACAGCGAAGAAGGCCCACACCGACACCATGATCTTGCTAGTGGTACCCTTGGGATTCTGCACTGGCACAGAGTTGTTGAACACCAGCCCCCACAGCAACCAGATAGCTTTGCCAATGGTGAAAGAGGGACCTCCAGGCTCTAGAGTGATTGAGAAACATGATCCCACAGTGAGCATCTCAGAGTAAGCGGTCTGCATTTCTATTCACACATGCATCTTGACTTCACAGTTAAGAACAGTATCTGTTCCCACATGTGAGATGAATGTCCGCAGCTGGGATCCCCTATGCTCATGACACCATACCCCTGCAAAGTGTGACTCTGAACAATGATTTTTTAAAAAAATGTCCTCAGGATTCCATATTTATTCTGTCTCAAAGATTTCCGCTGAAACTTTATACAAGGCCTTTTTCTGTATCTGACTGGAGCATCTAAAAGCCCAAACATTCCATTTTGGTTCAAGTGTTGTCACCAGAAATAGAGTTTGCTCAGAAAAATGCTATCCTCATTTCTATCTATTCAACAGCAATGTTGTCCTTGAACTCCCAGCCTGCACCTGTGCAAAACATGGCCTTCACTATACTAGTACAAGGGCAAGGAAGAGTGCCATATGAAATAACGGGGCTCTACAAATATCTCTGCAAGGGGGTTCCATTACCCAGTCTGTTGAAGACACACAAGCCAGAGAACAACACAGCTCCCTCACCCCATGTTCTGTGTCTAAGATACATAACAGTGATGTGGTCTGTCTCAGGAAAATCAGCAGCTCTGCCCCAGACAGTCCAGGAGCAGATCCAGTGTTTTAAAAGCTGCTATTTTTCTCTTACTCACTTTTCAGGGTGGCAGGTCATGTTACATGTTTCAGGGATAATATCTCTCTGATCATACAGTACTGTCCATAATTACTCAGAAATATTGATACTTGCAGCTGTAGGTCAGCTAACTTAATAACTGCACACCTGTACTAAGAACTGCTTTTAGTTCCACATCCGTATAAATGTCTCCCAAGAGACTCACAGGTTTAACAGTATTTACTTGTGTCCACAGATCCAGGTAGGTACAATCAGTTGTCATAAAGGCCCTCCACAGCTCCATGCTAAAAGAGAAGTTATAAAGGCCCTCCACAGCTCCATGCTGAAAGAGCTCCACTTCCCCATATATGCAGTTCTGCCTGCATTCTCATTAACAGGTTTGGGGTCTTTTTCATTCTTCTCTAATTTGATGGCATAAATTCATTCGAAGCGCTAGACTGGGGAGCAAATGGGTGCATTTTCCAATAACTCTCTCCCACTGTTCTGAATGGACCAATAAACCCAGAAACGTTTGAAGGGCTGATTCATCTGGAGGTGAAGATATGGAGATGACAGAAGGCTCCACATGCTAATTGTCTTGATGCCAGTAAGGCAAAAAATGCTGTCTCTTAGGCTGTCTGTCTGTCCTCTCTTTTACTCATTGGGCTGTCTTCTGAAGATCAGAACCACAGAGAAGGGTCACTCACTTGTTCCCATCTTTACTGCTGCCCTTGCAAAATAATCCATCACCCACTGCCAGGAAAATGAGCTTCTCACTTTCTCAGTTTGCCTCAGCAAGCCAGAGAGCCAAGTGGGGGAAGGACATGCCCACGTGACAGATGTAGGGTCTGGAGGATACAGCACTATGCTAGGAAGCCAGCAGAGCAGCCTGCTCTCCACAGAGACGTAACACTGAAGGATTGACAGGGATGAGTCCTCAGATTGCCTCAGAGAGCGCATCACCATAGGCACTGCCAGCACCGGCTACCAGGACCTATTTTCCCTCAATGGGAAAAAAGTTGGAGCTGGTGCATGCTTTAGAGATGAAAGGCGACACAGCTCCGTCTCCCGAGCCAAGCAAATTATCCATTATACACATCTGCTCTCTTCAGAGCCTTTTTTCTAACTCCATCCCTGCCCTCTTTAGTCTGAATGCAGAGCTCAGTGTGGGCTAGATCTGTATCATGTTCAAGGCAAAGGAAACACCCACAAAAAGGAGTCGGGATTGGAAGCAAGAGAAGATCATGGCAAGGAGAGACTTTCCTTACCTCTGCCATCAGCAAGGCACCGATTATAGCCCACAGGGCTGAAGTACTCAAAGACGAAGACAGCCACCGCAGAGATGATAAGCAGCATCACAAACATCATCACCCATACATCAGCACTGAAAGGCTCTGGAGAGGAAGAGAAAACCATGGTGAAAAAACAGGTACCCCACCCCTCCATCACCTCCTTTGCCCTCCAGAGCATGCCAGTGTGGGGCAAACTGGGCTGGGGAAAAACAGAAGTTACAACAAAGCCCTTGACCTGAGTCTGAAAAAATTTTGAACTGGGAGAAGTGTTGTTTCTATCTCTGTAATGACTGCATTCCTTCTTACTGTCACATTTGTGACACATGGCTCCATCTGGAACTACATGCAGCCATTGTGGCATGCATTGATAAAATAAAATGCATTGATAAAAGATAGTTCCCAGGAAGTCCTCCAGCACCATCTGGAGAGAGTGGGGCAAATTAAGCAGAACTGGCACAGTTTCAGACAAGCATCCAACTTTCAAGATGCTACTGAGCCAAAGAGCATCTCCAAATTTCTGAGGTCCAGCCATAATGATAGTAGTTTTTTCAGCTATTCCATTCCTGTAGCAATGGGAATACTAGCTCATTCTAGAAATGTTAGCATTCACGTTCTGCAACTGTTTGATTTCTGCCAGTTTTTCTCCTCCTCCAAGCCTGAACAGATAAAGATGGGACTGAACCAGATCAAAGAAACTTAGAACTTTGCTCCAGACTATAGCCAATTTTGCAACCTCAGATAAACTGCTATTTAAAATTATGGAGTTAATTTTATGGTTGCTTTTACATATCTCAGCAATATTGCTGGGCTTGGCTAAACACAAAAACTCCTGAGGAGTGAGCAGTCATGAAACTCCTATTTAAAGAGGTTTGGAAAAACTTCTTTACCCATATAAAGGTATTTCTGTTTGTAAATGTTCTCAGGATGCTGGCAGAGAGCAGAGAGTAATTACGTAACTCATACACTGTGTTTGCTGCATCATAAAGCATTTTGTAAAGCAAATCATTAGACACTAGAAAGGCATGGATGTCTGGGGAAAATGCAGTATCATTTCTGCATTCTGTGACCACCCTCTTTGACCAAAGGACATCAAAAATCATGTTATTGGAAGACACAGTGTAAGAACAGAACTGATGGCTGAACTCTTTTTGAAAAGCACTGTTAGATCTTCAATTTTTACCAGTTGCTCCGACAAGGGAGGATCAAGGTAATACCTTCTTTACAAATAATGTCTCTCAAATTGCAATGATTTATTGCTAATTGTTATCACTAAGTACTATCACATCCCAGCTATAACGTTTGAATCAATTTTCTTCTGGCCTGTAGATCAGAACTCCCTGAACATGCTATTAGTTGAGTCACTGGGAAACCACATGCTGCAGAGAAGGTGACAACTCTGAGTGAACCCATTCTTTGCTGGGATTAGGTTTACATTTGCTGAGAAATGCTTAGGCAGTGCCTGTTTGCATTTGCCTGGATTTTGCTTGCTTGGTATTTAGAACTAAAACATCACAGTTTATTTTTATATACTTGTCCCACAGGTATTCCCAAAAAGGGACTGTCAGGCTAAGAATCCCAAGCAACCTTCACCTAATTTTTGGAGGAACACTGGGTGAAGTTTTAATTTTAGATTAAAATGGTACCTAAGAAGGCAGAAGGTGAGACAGTTCCATTGCTACGTGACACCATGACGCTGATTCCCGTCTCGATGAAGGGCACAGAGAAATCCACCACTTCTGAACGCTCCTCATTAATGGTGAGGGATCCCACAGCCATATAGGCCCGTTTGGTGACGACCTGCAGGAAGGAAAGGAAGAGATGACACACAGACCTGAGGCACTTCTCAAACACCATAGCCCTTCTCACCTTCCTGCTTTTCCACACAGTCCTTTTACTGCTGTAATCCCATTCCCTACATTGTTTCTATCATCTCTCCTTTCTAATCTTTCATCAGGACACCTTCTTCTTTCAGGAAATCTATAGGCATTAATCTTCCCCTCAAAGCTGGTATGTGTATAAAAAATAAATCCGCAGAGGTCTTAGGATAAACACATCATCTACTGAGAAGACGTCTTATCTCATTTTTCTGTCCTTGCTTTCTCCTCCTTCTAACACTGCAAAGTCTTATTTCATTCTTTATGTACCTTATATACGATCTAAGCGTAATCTAGGTTGCAGCCTCTCTGGTGCACGGATATCACCCTTGTTCTCTGACTGCGAAGGCCAAATTTGCGACACTATAATTAATAATAATTAATCGTTGAACAGGAAAGGTAGTCATGGTCAGAGTGTCAGTACAGATTAATTCACCCAGTACCCAGAAAGAATCCAGGCCAATCATTTCAATAGAGTCACCTCTGTCCCTGCCCTGGAAGGGGACCCAATAATGACGGGAGAGCAGACCTGACCCATGCCACCCAGCCCAGGGATGAAGCCCACCATGCCCTCCCTTTGCTGCTGACCTCTCCAATCATTCCATTCCATGTCCCATTGATCTTTTTCCCATGCTTGCCATTAGTCACCAAGTAGAGGTCATAGGTGAACTTGACAGACTTTGAGATTTTCTTGAGGATGTCAATGCAGAACCCCTTGCAACATTTCTTCATGTAATCCGGCTCCTCATCGGTTTTGTTCCTGAACCGTCACAACAATAATGGGTTAAAAGACTGGGGAACACTCCCTTAATTCCCTTCTGTTGTCAGTATGCACGCCCCCTCCCACAATTCTCTACATTAGTAGAGAATTTCACTTGTGTTATCTGTGCTGGAGGGTGAAGGGACACACTATGATGATTTGCCCAAAGGGGCCAGCCATGAATGGACATTGGCCAGGCTGAACAAGTGGACATGACTTTTCTAAAAAGGATTATGAGGCTATGGTGGTATTGTCTCAACAGCCTCTCTACATTGTCCTAAGAAGGGAGAGCCCAGTAGGAGGAGAAAAACCCAGGGGTGCCTACTCGGTCACTATGCGTTTTTGGCAAGGGACCGTGTTCCTCATGCAGGTGCCACTTAGGGGGTCCACGTTCTCCACAATGACAAACGGTGCCTCTTCCAAGGTCACAATACTCAGGTGATCGTCCTCACGTTCCTCAGAGTCAGGATACAGCTCAAAGCGGGGCCACACGTAATACTTCATCTGCAACTTTTTCTCCTTCCATTTCCCCACCTGTGGAGACACAAACCACAGAAGATAGACTGCTAGCTCCCCATCCCTCTGCGTCAACCACAGCTCCCACAGGCCTGGGCAGGAGAACCACTCTGGAACACCAAGCTCATGGCTCGTAAGATGAGGACATTTCTGGGAAGAAGGCTCTGAGTAAGTGGGTTCAAACCAGGGGGAAGTGGATAACAAGAAAGATGTCTGGGTTGTGTCATCTCTGTGATGGTCTCACCCTCTGGGAGAGTGGATGACCAGGGGGATACCATCCCCATGGTCAGACAGACATGACATCTTTCAGCATCCTCAGCCAAAGAACAGGAACAGAGCTTTTTGTCTCCTGAAATTACTTCAGCCTGCTAGCCACAATGAAACCGGGGTTTTTTTCCTGCTAAAATAAAAGAGAAATATATACAAATGCTGAACCAAATGTCATTCTGAAACAGAGAAATTGAAATACTTAACTTGAAAAAGTTGAAACAGAACTTTTTTTTTTCTGAATTTTGTCTTAATTTGTTTTCAGTGAAATTCATCAAACAGATTCATTTTAGCCAAACTTGAAAAGGTTGCCCATTCCTAGTCAGGACTCAGTCCTTCCAAGAGACAGGCAACTGAAGAAGCAGATGTGCTGCACTTTCAGGAAAGTCTTTGCAGGAGAACATGGAGAGAGATGCTTGATAACAATAGTTTTTCCTATCCCCTGCTAAGGCCTTACTGAAATAGCTGCTCTTGTCCTTTCACAACAACTCGGTTACATACCTTAGCTGGAATCAAGGAATTGCTCTGTCTTTCTGACACATGAAAAATAAAATCAAAGAGCATCTATGATTTTTTAATCTTGCCATCTTTTCACATGGATATACGGCAATTTTAGATCTTTTCATTTTTCATTTCTTAAGCAGAGATCATCTCTTCAGTGGTTAGAAAAGGGGGGTGGAACTCAGATGTGTTATACCTACTGCCACAACTAAGAGTCATTTTGAAGCCTCCCCAACCACTGAAGAGATGATACGTGTAGCACACCCACTCTCTGCGGTAGGCCATTCCTTGCAAAAATTCCAGGAAAAGAAAAAAAACCTGAACATCAACTATGCTTTCAACCATCAAAGTCTTGCCTTTGTTCTCAATTCCCCCCATCACAGTTGACACTAATTAGCACCTTGGCTGGCAGCTGAAGCTGAGAGGGCAAGAAACTGCCTGGGCTTTAGAAGGAACTTCCCGGCACGATCCCCAAGGAAAGCCCTCCAGGCCAGGGCTGATACACGATGACTGGATGGCAGAGGCAGTGTGGATGTGTGGGAAGCTTGCATGACTGCTCTCAGCGATGTACCTGCTTGGTGGGTAAAGAGAAAAGCTTCATCCCACTACAATCCAACACCCCTCCCACCACCCCCAAATTTCAGTCATTTATTTATTTAAATGACAGGAGGGGAGGGAGAAGCACTTATTAGAGGCTCATTAGGTGTCAGCAGTTATTCTGTGAAACTCAAAGCCCAGCTGGGGTTTGGCATTTGAGAGCAGCTAGAATTCACATAAAACATTTGTCACCTTCCAAACAAACAAACAAATGCTTCATCTGGCCATGAAAGAAAAATCCGCTCTGGGGGCTTGTGGAGGGAGAGGAAAGGCAGAAGAAATCCCCCAGGGACAGCAGCTTCCCCATCCATTCCTGCATTAGGAACACAGCTCCCCAGTGAGGGCAAGGCAGTGGTTTTGTAAGAAGGGGGTGAGGTGGCTGGATAGCTGGCCTTCCCAAGGCCCCTTTCAAAAAATGCCAGGGAGTCTTTGCCTTTAATGTGCCCTACCCCCATGGAGTCACGGGACCAGCAAGCAAGGGGGACAGCTGGTTTTTTTTCTTTTTCCTTCTCCCCCCTTTTTTTTTTTAACTTGAGTGAGCAGGGAGGAGTTGTTTTAATTTTTAAAAACCACTCTGAGCAGCAGGTAAAAGCTGGCAGATTGGGAGGCCCAGGAACTGGTGGCCCCCTTCATCCCCAAAAGCCAGGTAGTGTTGTCTAGGGCAGCAGGCGGTCTGTACTCATGCAAATATCTAAGCCTGGATGTGGAGACTGCATTTCTGAGGGAATACAGAGCAGATACTCACATGTTCACCCAGGATCTGCTCAGCCCTGGACTTCCCACTTGTCGACCAAGCAGGTCAATTTATCATTATCTGAGCCAGAGATTCCTTCAGTGCATCTTCAGCCTTCAAGTAACCAAGCTCAAATCCCCAAAACCACTTCAGTGAAGCCACCAGACAAGGAGAATAACACGGGGCTCAGTGGGGACCGGTGATTAAGATGCTGCACAGAACAGCCCAGACTTCAGCTCAGCACCATTAACTTATCATAGAAATAAGTGGTTGATGAAAGAGACATCTTGCAGTATCTCAGCAGCACTTAGATATCACAGTAATAGGCATGATATAAACCCCTAAGTGATAAATTAGATCAGATAGGCAAACCCAACTCGTAATTACCCAGAAGTTCTCTGGGACAGAAAGAGGAGTTCATAAGGCTGTGTGCCAGGCACGTTTCGCAGTGTTGTACTACATGGACAACATTATGAAATTAGGATAACAATGACAGTCTTGCCACAGCCTCCTGCGTGCTGAAGCACCTAACCTGCAAATACAGTAATGCACGTCCCTTCCTTACTATCCCAATAAAATAATTCTAAATTGTCCAAAAAAAAGGAAAACCAGGATGTGATGGAATGTTCTGACCTAAATTTTCAAATTAACCATAGAGTGTCTCAAGAATACCTGCAAATACTACATTCCATTGCAAACCTGAACAATCAGGCATGCCATATACCTGCAGACGTGTACAGAGATGCATAAACACAGTCAGAAAAGCTTTGTGAATCAAGAGGGGGCAGACTTCTTTACATGCTCATGCATGCAAGGGTCAAATGTATATGCATGTAGTTAAAGAGCAGGCTTAAGCAACATGTGGGCAGTGACAGCAAGAATAAGAAACATCGCGTGTGCAGAAGATGGAGACAATGCAAGAGAAAGAAAATACAAATGTGCATCGTGTGCTAGATAATCTGCCATGAGAGGGAAGGAGCAATTCACTGTGGGGACAGAGGTTAGCTACAACAGAATTAAATGTCACAGATTTGTCCAGGTAATGATGCCTACTGTTAAAGAATATAACCTGCCAAGCTGTGCAGAGCAGAGCAAGGCACTTCTGGAGTCTCAGGGTATTTGGTATTAACAGCTTGTGAACTGTTATTACTTAGGTTTTGCTCAGTGCTTGCCTCAGCAAAAAGAGGAAAAATAAACCATCCCAGGCATCCTACGTATTTGACAGCCTGCAGTGTCAAGACACACTGGGCGTTCTCCGATCAGAGTCTAGTCATGCAAACTCCCACCAAGAGCCCAGGAAGGTCACAGAATCAGCAACAGTAAGGATGCTAGGGAACTTTAAAACCCCCTTTCTAATCATATTCTCCAACCCCTCGGTATGTTCCTGTATGCCAGGGCAGGGCTCCTAAGAGCCAGAATTTCACCTTAACTTCCCCTTGCTCTGCTTGTACTACATCTGATCTTATCAAGAAAGGAAAGTCACTTTGGTTTGGGGATAAATTCAAAGGTGTTGAGGGAGGGCAGTAGCTAACTTTTACCTTAAAGATAAGATCCTGCTTTGGATAACGAGCTGTTGGAAGCAGAAGTCCAATACATTTGCAAAGAAAATGAAAGCTACTGTAGAACAAAAAGTCAATCATATATGTTATTGGCTTGCTTAAGTATATAACCTATGCCATACAGACAAAAGGTAAAAATGCCTATGCAAGGGGAAAATAAGTGAAAGCCTTCCGAAAGCCTTCCAGCAGGCTGGCAAATTGCCTTAACCGCGGTATAATGCAGCCAGAATAAAAGTGTTCTGCAGTATGTTAATGCGCATCTTAAATGAAAGGTGTATCATATTAGTTCCTTGAAACTAATGTTTAACAGAGACTTTGCTCTCCTCCCAGGGGAAGCTAAGGCTTGTAACTGCCATTTGTGGCAGATGTTTGTCTAACCTCTCCTTACAGTGACAGAGAGCCCACATTCTCCATGGGCAGTCTATTCCAGTGCTTAACTATCCTTCTCATTAAAAAGGGTTTTATTCCTGATGTCTAACCTAAATCTTCTTGCTGAAATTTATACCAGGAGAGTATACTTCCTTATTCTTCTACATGTGCTCTTTTCAGTGTTATCAGGTCAGTAAGATTATTTATAACACAGAGGAGTTGGTAGCCTCATTCAGTGGGTATCTTATATGCTGCACTGGCAAAAGCAACCTTCTGTTCAAATGACCAGCATCCAGTCTGACCACTTATAAAATCCTTACCAGACAGGTAGTACAGACAAGTACAAGCTACCCCCATGAACTTCCAAAATTGTCTGTTCCAGCCAGGGCAGAAGCCAGTCTCTGAGCTCCTCCCAGTATGCCAAGGCAGGATGTCAAAGCACAAGAGCATCTGGAAGAACATCTAACTAATTTCAAAAGATGGAAAAACAAAACCACATAGAAATGTGGCTTTCAAGGAGTAGGCAGCAGAATACAGCTCTGGATAGACAGAAATGTTCAGATACATTTCTTAGGCAAGATGTTCACAGGCACTGCATTCACATTTGGGGTGAAGGTTCAGGAGAAAGCCTGAACCTTCAGGTGCTTGTTTTTCAACAGACTGCAGAACTGTGTCTGGGCAGTCTTTTAATAGTTTTTGTTTCATTCAGGCTCCTATTTGCACTGTAGCCTGCACCACTCTACTTATTTAAAAACCTTCCCTTACTTCCTGCCACTCCTGGGATAGAAGAAATACAGAAGGCACAAAAGTGACTTAGTTTAATCTACAGAATAAAAGAAAGACCATTCCAAACTCACTTAGCACTTGAACTGCTTTCTATATTTCCCCAAAAGGTCAACATTTCCTCCCTTATTAGTAGATGTATTTTTTTTTCCCCAGGAGCTGAGGGGCTTGTGCAGTATATTGGGGAAGCACTAAGGCAACAAGACAGA